TTTTTTTTTTTTTTTTTTTTTTGCAAAATTATGATTAGTTTGGTCTCATGAGAAAATACATATTCATTATAGGAAAGGAAAATATCTTTTATTGTTGATTCTCTTCTGAAAAAAATAGGGGTGGGGCCCATGGTTAAGGAAAGAGTTAGTTAAACAACTGGCTCATTTTTTTTCCATTTACTGACTGGACTTCGGGTCACTCAAGCAGACCATGTAGGTATTTTAAGGTAGAGTGTAAACGGACCCATGGTTGTAGGTCCCATGACAGCAGGGACTAACAGCAGTGTTGCTCTGAGGGACCCAAATGGGAGCCGAGTTAGGGCTGCTTGCTTGCTTGGCCTTCTGCAGGGCTGTTTTTGATGATCAAGTCTTTTCTCAGGCAGAATGATTTTGTAGAAAGCCATATGGAGCTGCAGATGTCTCACTTAAGTCCTTCAGATTTTTCTGCAAGTAGCTGATTTGGAAGATATTCAAAATTTTACCTGTTGCATATTCTTTTTTTCCGAGATCATGTTTTCTGTTACATCCTATTTATTATCTAAATGGCATTATGTAGTTCTCCTATGAAATTCATCTTCCTTGTACCATATTTGTTGTAGCTTCTGGCTGTCACTGTGGTATTTTTTTAAGGAGTTTATCCTAAGTCCTTGTACTGAACATAGACTTTCGTCCCAGTTACACAGTGTTCTCCAAGTGCTGTTAGGAATGCAGACAAGCTAAAGCCCAGGCTGCAGAGGCACTGTGGAAATTATATCTTGGCATTTGCATCTTCTTTGCAAAGTCATGTTAGTAGTTTCATAGGAAAAGAAAGGTGGGTGGATGGGTTGCATTTAACAAAAATCTTTATGTGGTGCTGTTTCTATCAGAAGAAACATGTTTTAAATTAAGGGAATTATCACTGTCAATTTTTCAGGATTTCATTTTGACTAAGTATGCGTTATCACTGCGTGAAATCACCAAAGCTAGGATTAAATGTTATTTAGATTGTGTTAATGTTTTCTTTAAACTAATGAGTTTTGTCACCAAGTGATGATTTCCAAACTTTTAAAAACAGAACTTAGACCTGTGGTGTAAAAGCCGAGTGGTGCTGCTCTGGTTGCCTTGGGGGTGAGCTAAGCCCCTCCTCGCTTCTCCGCTCCCTCCTCTCCCCCACCGCCATCGACCTCCATCCGCCTCTCTGTCTGTGCCACAAGTCATACCCTTACTAGCGAATTGTGTGGGTTTCCTCCGTCTCAGCCCATGCACTCCTGGGATCTGTTTCTGTAAATTTCGGGTGTCCTAGGGTGATTTACGGTTGATGACCACAAATTAGGGAAGGAACATATTCCATGGGGTCCAGCCCTATTCCTGACCACATCCTTCTTTGAATAGCAAGCACAGTGCGTTTTCAACCAGAATACTTCTTGCAAGAGCTTTAATTAATTTTGAAATACTTCACAACCCCCTCTTTAGCCCAGATCCTCAAGTAATCAGCTATTTAATGTGGGTATCTGAGTAGAAATCTTTTCAAGAAAGTTGAGAGAGCTACCCACAATGGTGGCTACAGTTTTAACATAAAGTTTGCACTCCCCCCACCCCAAATCTCTTAAAGTCTGTTCTGATAGAAATAAGTGACTCTGAAGCAAAAGTGAATCCTTCATCTGCACAAATTTCTTAGCGACAAAAATGAATCTGATTATTAATGCTGTTTGAAAACTTTCACATTCTTTAATTACAAGTATGAATTCAAATGTCAGAATCTGTTAGAATTTTTCTTAAAAGCTTTCTAAAAACTTAGAAGTATAGCTATGTTAGGGGTTTTCTTGGTCTATTGGATTTTTGATCTGCAAAAACCACAGATGTAATAGTGAGCTTCCAGGGCAAGGAACTCTGTCATCTTCAGCTACCCACCTGCCAGGACTGTAGCCTGTGAGCATCGGATTGTGTGAAAACGTCACTGACACGTGGATGGTGAGGACAGGTCTCCCAGAACGGTGCCGTCTGACATAGTGACTCCTGGCTTCTGGCTTCTGGATCACGCCGTCTGATTCCTTTCTGCCCTTCAAGCCGTTTCCCATCTCAAGCCCAGGCTGTAGCTCTGCACTCCAGACTGATATGTTCAGTGCCCAGTGTTTCCCGGAATGAAGTAATTTTCCAAACAGCCATTCTAGTAGCTACATGCCCAACCCATTTTTTTTTTTTTTTAATTTCTGAGACAGGGTTATTGCCAAGGATTAGGCTTAAACCTGCCATCCTCCTGCATGGGCCTCCCGAGTGCTGGTTACTGTACTCTGTGCTTCAGCCTGTACATGCAGCGTCCCAGATACACTTTGGCACATCCTCCTCTCCTTAGGTCGTACACCAGCCACTCCCTGCCCCTCTGCTTTCTTCATCTGGCTAAATCCTATTTATCCTCCAGAGTTCAGCTCAGGCAACCCTTTTCAGTGACTCTTGCCCACGCCTGGGTTAGGTCATACTTGAGAAATACAGTCAGCTCTAACAGAAAAACCTGTCTTAACTACCCTAGGTTGTGACTTTCCTCTGCCTTGCGCAAGATGTTGAAGGAGAGAGGTGGTCCCAGGTAGGTACAGGTACTCAAGGACCTAGGCTCTTCCTGTCTTTTATGCATTCTTAGTTTGTTGGCTTTATCACCTCAAGGTCACAGCGCAGCTTCTGTAGCCTTGGAAGTTGGTCATGTTCAAGGAGGGAAGAAGTGAAAGTGAATGGAGCCAGCCACGTCTCAACCTTTTATTAGGAAAGCAAAATATTTCCTTTCCCATAGGCCAAGTACCAATCTCATGGCTCTCCTATAGCTGCAGAGGGTCTGAGAAATCAGGGAACGGGAGAGTGATAATTGACATTAGACTGTGTTGGCCCCAGGCAAAGTGCAAGTTCTGTTAGCGTAGAAGAAGTGAGGAATGGATATTGGGAAAGCTGCTGGTGGCTTGGTGCTCACTGCAGTGTCTCTCATGATACTGTGAGCTCCATGTGGCTGGAACTGTGTTGCTTGTCTTTGTATACCTGATGGCTGAAACACTACCTGGTTACATAATAGTTGTTCAGTAGATATCAATTGCACAAAATAGCCAGTGAGTGAATACATGTGTATTTAACATATATTTTCATTAATTTCAATCATACTATAAAAATTCACAACTCTGTTCATCATTTAATAATATGAGCACATTATCACAACAGAATCACTGAATTTGGTTCAGTTGTCAGGCCACAGTGGCTTGGAGATGTATCACTTCAGGATTCAGCGCAAGCCTGCATCGTAAGTCATGAAGGGCTGACTGTAACCCTTCCTGCTGCTGCTGCACATGGGAGGAACCTGGCCAGGGGCTCCCGGATTAGTCCCTTGGCTCTGTCTTGTCCCCGTTCCACCTTGCAGGGAGACTTTGAAAGAGGAGGCCTGAGTTCTGCCTCATGGAAGTAGGTAATGCAAACCCTAAATAAGACCCCTTGCTGAAGAAGTTGAAAAGTTGGATGGCAGGCCTTTTTTTTTAACTTCAGCTCGTCATGTCTTCCCAAACTTTCTGTTCCTCCTGTGAGTGGCACCAGTCTCTAGGCAGCCATCAGACACAAACCTGGGAGGCTTCAAGGCTGCCTCCCTCTCTGCTGCAGCTTGTCAGTGTACTTCTGAACCACTCGCAAGTGTTTGTTCCTCTCTGTCGCTGTCGCTGTCCAGTCTAGAAGCCCCCTCTTCCATCCCTTGAATTGGCCGGATCCATTTGATTGGTTGCCCTGCTTTACCAATCTTAACTTCCTCAGAAATCGTCCTCTCGTTTCTCTTGGTGAAATCCTGTTCACATGTGCCTCCAGCTCTGTCATTGCTCCGTGCTAAAACCTTCACTACCTTTCTGTCGGCTCCCGAGCAGAGTGTGAGCTCCTGCTTGAAGTTCATTACCGCTCAGCCTCGACTCTCCCAGGGGCGCTCTGGCTCCCATTTTATGTGACAGTGAGAAACCATTTGGATTTCCCGCCTCGCCCTCCGCCACCTGCCCCTCCCCTGGTTTGTTCTCAGGTTGCCTCTGGCTACGCTGCTCTTCTCCACCATCTCTCCCCTTTTGCTGGTTGACTACTCACTCATCTTTGAAGTCTCGCCTGCTGCTCTTCCCTCTGCCTCACCATGACGGAGTTAGATCCTGTTCATGCTGTACTAACCATTGCCCAGCGAAGGTGCCCTCCCTGAGGGCAGGGTGTTTATGACTCCTCTGTGCCTGGCAGGGTAAGCAGCCAATTCAGGGGAGGCAGATGGTTCTGAGGCATGTCGAAAAGGGGCCAGAATGTTATTAACCCAATGTTGACTTCGCATAGTTTGTGTATCAATCTATCCTTACATGCCTGTTGACTTTTTCCATATATGCTATTATTGCTGTGTTTTATTTCTGCTAAAGATGTATTTTGCATTTGGTTTTTAGGTTAAAGCCATTTACATCCACTGTGACATGTTCTCAGTTCACAATGGCTTGCTGACACCAACACTAAAGGCTAAGAGACCTGAGCTGAGAGAGTACTTCAGAAAACAAATAGAAGAGCTTTACTCGATCTCCATGTGAAGTTCACGGAGTTCTTCCCAGTAAAATGGACTGTGCAGCAATGTGACAGTGATCCCTGAAAGTTATGAGTCAAAGCGACACAGTTGAAAATGAATTTGGGAACTTTTCCTGTCCCAAGAGGTCTTTAACAATATTTCTCTATCATCACTGAGTACACTTTATTTTTATTAAAATGACACTGTAGAAAGCTGCTAAAAAAAAATCACAAATGGCAATGTAAAAATCAAGACAGTTTCTCAAGAACTGTATACCACTAAAAGTAATATATTCTCGATATTCACAAAGCTCCTATTAAACATAATGGAAAAACAACTGATACATTGTACTCAATTATTTGTAGGATTATAACCAGATATAGCAAACATCTAGCTGATGTGGGCTACCTCTTTCAAAAACTGATTATTAAAATTACAAATCAGATTTTAAAATTAAAACAATGTATACAGAATCATGTTAAAATAAAACATGATAATTCACTCGAAAGACTTTAGAAATGGCAATCCTTATTGATGTGAACAGTTTCCTCTGATTTTTACTCTCATTCATGAAAAATGCAAATTCAGATATTCTTAAAACATGTTATATTTATATAACAATGTTTACCAAGATCCTTCAATACATTTTCTCATTTATTAATCTCATTAAAACATTCTGGAACTACCTACAGAAATGTAATTTAAAACTATTTGAGGATATATGCATATATTCCTGGACTTCTGACCATAATGAATTCTAAAAGATGACTCTTGGCTGAGTCAATGAATTGGCTCTTGGGGGAGACTTAAAAGAAGAAACTCAGAGCTATTTCCCAGGCAGAGCAGCAATTAATCTTTCTTTTTTTTTTTTTTTAACTTTTTATTTATTTATTTATTTTTTGGTACTGGGGATTGAACTCTGGTCCTTGCGCTTGCAAGGCAGGCCACTGAACCGCTGAGCGAAATCCCTGGCCCTTTTTTTATTTTTTTAAATCAATGTTTGTTGTGGAGGGCCTTCTCTTCCATTTTCAGAATGTCCATGCTGGACCTGGGAAACCCAGTAAGACTGTACTTCTGAACAATTTCATTTTCTTTCAATATGACTATCAAGGCAGGATGTGGGGAAGAGTAGATGTTATTTCCAAAGAAAATAATTTTTCAATAACATCATTTAGGAGAATCGCTTCAAAATGGCCCTCAAAAACTTTATGGTCCATCATTAAAGAAATACCTGGTGATAGCATAATTTCACTCCTAGAATCTTCAAATGCTCTTAAATTGATCCATAAAACCTTTCTAGCAGTATGTATTTAAACACAACCTGGGTGCCAGGAATTTGAATAATTAAAACCTTAGTATCATGGTCAGCAATTCAGTTCCTATCTATAAATGGTACACCTAGAAAAGACATGGCCCCTAGGAAAGTGTTTTTCTTCTACAGGGACAGAAGCCTGCAAGCCCATAAAAAATTAGCATGCAATTTGCTATTCATGTGTTAAATCAAAATGTAAGCGCTCAGTGTTCTGTGCAGGAGCTCCTTTCCCTGGAGGAAGTCCAGACTGAGTCCCACAGGCCTATTGTATGACTGCACCAATAATTACACACATTTCAATCTTGTCAAAAGTGGGCCATAGCTTCATTTGATATATTTGTTCAATTTTTTACATAGTAGAGTATCTCTGAAGACCTATGGTTACACTTACAAATTTGACATTTAATAAATGAGCTAATTTCATGCACACTGAATTTTTTTTTGTTGTTGTTTTTTGTTTTGTTTTGTTTTTTGAGACAGGGTCTCACTATGTAGTTGAGACTGACCTGGAATTCACTATGTAGTCCAGGCTGGTCTCGAAGTCATAGTGATCCTCCTGCCTCAGCCTCCTGAGTGCTGGGATTACGGGCATGTACCACCACACCTGGCTCTATTGGCTCTATGCACATTGAGTTTTGAAGGCACTTCTAACCAAACACTTAAAGTAGGTCACATTTGTGTAGATCTGGTTTTTAAAAGAACATATATATATATATATATATATATATTTGATCAATTAAAAGTGAAAACCATAATTTAAATTGGGTATTTGTATTATTTTAAGGGCAAGCATCTTCGCATTTTAGAATAATAATGTTTTCCACTTGATTAAAATTTCATAATTGGCTTTGATTCCATAAGAATTTTGAACAATGCAATTCAAGTAAATGACTTAAAATTTATTTTGATTTTGTTTATACCTCATAGTAATTGGCTATGTTGAATTATCGACAATTTAGGATTTCTTTTAATCCACAAAAGATCTTGTTTCTACTGGATTTCCTGATCTGTGTGGAAATCATAACATGTGGGCCAGTAAATGAGTTAGTGCAGATGTGCTGTGAAAATAAATGTGGGCCTAAAACACACTGCATATACATTTATCTAGTCCTCTAACTCCCCTTAATTTCATAATAAAGGAGAAATGAAATGATATATAATGAAACACTCTACTTTGCGTCAGATTTCCCCACCTTTTATTTTTGGGGAGGGAAAAAAAATGTATTTCTCTTTAACCAGTATAGAGAAAAGCTATAGAGTTTAGAGCTGTATTCACATTGGGTGTTGGAGCCTGTTTAAGTCTAGAGGTGTAACAGAAAATCAGCTCCTTAAGCATAAATATATTCTTAAATGTTTGGCCTTTTTACTAATTTCTAATTAAAGTATGTTAGCAAATCACATTTTGCAAACCAACCCTGTTGTGTATAAAACAATATACATCAATTTATTTTCGTTTTGCCATAAAAGATGTCTCTGTGGTTCTGAGATTTCCCTCCAGACAGGAGTGGAGACTCCGGCTGATGTAGCACATAGGTCTAGCTCTGTGTTTAGGAACTCAAACTCAGAAGTCCAGGATTAAATATACCATGTCTTTCCCTCGCTCTGTCATTCTAATGAGGTAAAACTATCAAGTATGAGAAAAAACCCAGAAGTTTCCACTGGGGTTTTTACAATCAGGTAATGTTTTAGCAACTTGAAATCAGCAGTTATTTTTATCGTATTACCCATAGAGTCAATAATCTTTTATTTTTATGCCATAAAGAAAATGAATTATTCTTTATATTCTAATTGTATAAAGCACAAATGTGATAGTTATTTACAATACAGAATACTATAATATGAATGTAAAGAATGGGAAAATGTATTTTTGCATGAAATGAATAATTGCAAACTTGCTTATCTCAGGAAAAAAGAATGATCATATGTAAAATTGGTAAATTATAACTTGGCTATATTTTCTTGTAAGTTTTTTTTAGGGAAGTATTTAAATCAAAAGAAAAAAGGATCCTAGTAGTCTTACATTTTCTCTCAAGTATGCTACATATTCCTGTCTGTGAGTCTACAATCAGCTACAATCAGAATGAAATTAGCATGCAAGTGAAGACCACACCTCAGCTCTTCAGTGAGGACACATTAATTCTGTTGGAGCACAAAGGCGACAGATACTTGGAATAGAAACATTTCTAAACCTGGTCCCAAATGGAAAAGATTTTCATGAGGTGACAATGGCATTTAAACATTCATTTGACTGTTATTTTAATTTTCCATGTTAAACTATTGCAATGATTGCATGGAGGAAAATAGATATTTTTGAAGAATTGCATATTCTAATTTCAATTTTTGAAAACCAAGGGGATTAAAATATTAGTTTTTAAAATGCATAAATTATCCTAACTGTAATTATATTTTCATTTGCTTTGTTCTAATAGCATGCATATCAAATATAAAATGCATTAATGAAAACTTTTGTAAAAAATAAAGATTTTTCATTTCTCAAAGTTGCTTTATATACTCATATAACGTAATGCATCACTGGGAATCTATTTGGTTGTCAGCAATCATGGTCCTGGTGCTACCAGAGTATCAAGCTACAGCACCAACCAGCACACTTTACATCTTTCTACATCCTGTCCAAGTTTCCCCAAACTCCAGAGTCTTGTCATACATCTCAGAGGCACTCCTTTGCTCCGGCTTCTGCTGGAACTCTCTACCATCAGATACGTACTGGTTTCAAATAACTTTTATGCTCTTAACAAATAATGATTCAATTCCATCAGAATAGCTACTAAAACATTTCTTTGTCTTCTAGTCATGTACAAATCAGTGGATATACTTTGCTAAAATGATGCTTTCTGCCATGTCTAAGCTATGCAGATTCTGCCTTCTCTACCTGTGGTGTGTTTGCTATAGTCAGTTCCTCTCTACTCTCAAAGAGACTCGTATAAATTGCACCACCCACATCTCTTATCCGGAATATTACAGTGCTTGCTTACCTACTCTTTCTGTTCCCACTTGCCTTCCTCAGATTTCATCATCTACATTTCAGCAGGCAATCTTTCTAAATTAAAAATCTGATCACACCGCTTTCCTGTTTACTATTCCTTCGATGACTTCCCATAGTTTCCAGAGTAAAGTTCAGACTCCTTGGTTCTGCTTACAAGGACTAGTGTCTCCACCCCCGCTCCCCATTGCTTGTGAGGCAGGCGGCAGAACCACTGAGCTAAATCTCCGGTGGTATCTCTTCCGCGCCTCCTCCATGCAGCCTTGGCGCTAAGCATGGCATTTACTTTTTATAGTGATCTAAAGCACCATGCAAGAATGCCTACCCTCTGTTCTAAGTTGTATTTTGATGATTCATTATATATTAAATTGCCATAAATGTTTCTAGGAGACTTTAAAACATTCAGTGATTTTATTATAAAAATATTGTGGCTATATATGTGCTTACATTCACACGCATAATACTGGGGTCTTACAGAAACATCTGTAAACTTCTTGTAATTTCATTTCTGTAGACTGCATTTTTTAATGATGTGAAATACTATTTTTTTAAATAACATGTTGAGTATTACATATGCCATATGCTTATCCGGTATAGCTAAATTGTGCGACCTGGGTATATGGAGAGAAAGGGAGGTTATTCCTATTTCTGCTCAATTGGGCGGCAGATTTGAGCCCCAAGGCGGAGCCTCCATGAACCTTCTGGCTTGACCACGAGGGTGCCCAGGTGTCAAGGAGGCCGGCACAGGCTAAGGGACTCTGCTTGTCCGTGAAAAGAGGTTTCCTGGAGCCCAAGACCTTGGAACACTTGGTTAGATTCTCCATTACCACTGGAGCTGAAATTGATCCCATTCCTCTTTGGAGCCTGACCCTAGCCTGCTACCTGATGCTGAGATCTAAGGCCTTATGCAGGGCTCACAAGAACAATGGAGCCATCAGTTGCGGCTCTTGGGCCTATTGGACTAACAAGGAAAGCAAACATAACCTCCTGGACAGAAAAACAAAACAAAAAAAACCCTTTTCCAATAAACTTCGGCCTAGTGCGGGTCCTCCTGGGTTGGGGCCGCCTCTAGGGGGCGGGGCCGCTGCCCTTCCCAGAAGCCCCCGCGCGCGGCGTCACTGGGGTGAAAAGGCAGGAGCGCGGCCCGCGGCGCCAGTCTTCGGGGTTCTGCTTTTCCCCTTCCGGGGTGTTCGGGCTGTCTCCCCGGCCGCCCCTGGGCGGTGTTTCTGTGCTAGGGTTCCTCAGGAAGGTGACCAGACAGGCTGTCGAAGGTCCAGAGGGCCTCGAGGCCTGGGGTGGGATGGCGCTGTGGCCGCTACGAGTCTACACTCGCCAAAAGCGGGCGGGCCAGAGGTTCAACCTCACTCCGACGCCGGACCCGGGCCCGCCCGCGACGACAGA